CGCTTTCCCCCCGCTCCCTGCAATTGGCTTGAGGGCGCCCGCGCCCGCGTTATAAGGTGGGGCGGGCGGCTCGCCGCGCCGCGCCGTCCGCCGTCCCGCCCGGCCGCACCATGGCGCTGAGCGACACCATCCTGCCCTCCTTCGCCACCTTCGCCAGCCCCTGCCGCGAGAAAGCCCTCCACGAAGTGAGTCTCGCCCCCTTCCCGCCGCCGCGCTGAGGCCGGCGCGGCTCATCGCAGGGGTGGGCGGCGGTGCCGCGGCCCCGCTTCTCCCCGACCCCCCCAAACGCCACCTCTAACCTTCTCCCTTTTCTTTCTCCTCCAGAGGTGGAAGTGCGACCAGGAGGCCAAGACCCCTGCCGGCACCTGGGGCGGCCTCTCCCCTCGCAAAGAGGATGAGGATCTCAACAACGTGCTGGATTTTATCCTTTCCATGGGCAGCGACGGCTACGGCCAGGGCGCAGCTGGTGGGGATTATCCCCCTGCCCAAGGGGAGAGCGGTGGCTTTTACCAGACAAACCCGTCCCCGGGATGCTACAGTGCCCTGGAGCAGGGCAGCCCCCCACCCTACAACGCCGGCATCGTGCCGGAGATGATCCGCTCCGAGATGGACTCCAACTACTGCCCTCCCGGCAATGTCCATGGGCGGTTCTTCGTGACACCCAGCTTCGGGGGCCCGCAGTTCGTTGAGAACATTAAGCCCGAGCCCGACATGGACAATTATGGACCGGTCCTGGGTCTGGTGCCCCAGGCTTGCCCGAAGATCAAGCAGGAGGGCAACGCGACCTGCATGATGGCCTACGAGCAGCCGCGGGTGGCCAGCTCCCCCCAGATCCCGGGGGCAGAGACGCCCCCACTGAGCCCCGACGATCTCATGGTGAATGACTGCCACACGCAGATGATGTGCCCCTCGTCCGTGTCCTTCCAGCAAAGCTACCACCCGGCCTCCGGCTTCCACCACCCGCAGACCCATCTCCAGTACCAGAACACCTCCCAGTTTGGCCTTTTCGAGGACAGCCTGCCCTTACAACCCTCCGCTCCCAGAGGCATGCTCACCCCTCCTTCCTCCCCTCTGGAGCTGCTGGACTCCAAACCAAAAAGAGGACGCCGGTCTTGGCCACGGAAGAGGACGGCCACTCACACGTGCACCTATGCGGGCTGCGGGAAGACCTACACCAAGAGTTCGCACCTGAAGGCCCACCTCAGGACGCACACAGGTAAATATGGCTGGTTGCCTTCATCCGGAGATACGCTCCCCGCCGGTTGCGATAGCCGCCTGTGTAAAACAATTTGCAGCCTGAGCTTTAACCCTGTAATCTCTTAAACTCCAGGAATATTCACAGTTGAGCTATGACAGGTGGTCAGATCTGTAGTGTCTAACTGTTTTCCTATGACTATGTAGGTCAAAGCTTTTCTAAGGGCTTCCAACGCCCTTTCTCAAGAGATTTTCACTGCAGGTATGGGGTAGGAATTGCTAGAGCAGTCTCGTTTGGCTTAAAAGCACTTGGATCTTATTGTAGAAGGGCTTGGTAGCAAATAAAAGGATACACTGAGATAAACTCGGAAGGTTGCCTAGCATGTGATGCTGCCCGTCCGTGGGAGTGCCGCGCTGAGTCACGCTCTCTGTCATTTCTCCAACAGGTGAAAAGCCCTACCACTGCAACTGGGAAGGCTGCGGCTGGAAGTTCGCTCGCTCCGACGAACTCACCCGTCACTATCGCAAGCACACCGGCCACCGGCCCTTCCAGTGCCACCTCTGCGACAGGGCGTTCTCCAGGTCAGACCACCTGGCGTTGCACATGAAACGGCACATGTAGCCTTAGGGACTCTGACCTGCAAACAGTGGACTTTATTTAACTGCTCAGGTGCAGAAGCGTTAAAAACTTGTAGCTGGTACTACGTAGGGAGGCACTGACGCTCTAGTGATGGAAGCTGAGGAGGATTTGACACAAGGAGACTTAGCCAGGCATCTCCTGCAGAGAACTTGATGTGACTGTATCAGTGAACCTGCCCGTCCAGGTCAGGAGAACAGGGGGTATTTATGCAGCTTCTGTGAAGGGTAAACTCCGTAAGACTCCATACAGATTGTATAGAAGAAGCTGTAAATATGTTTTTTTTCTGATTCTAACTGCCCAGTCCTAAGCTTTATGAGACAATGTTCGTATGGAAACTGCCTGAAGTTGACCCTAGAAGAGATAAAATGAATGTTACTGTAGCTAACGATGTTATTTTAGATCTCAGTTGAAGGCATGGCTAAGAGAACACTCCTATTGTTAGACTGTTTGTTTCACAGGTGCAATAATATTCTTGTTTGCCATGATCTACACTAGAAGTACAGGGCTTGATGTCTTGTAAGAAAATAACCTATTTTACTTCAGTTGTTTATATATTGTAAATAATTTTATACAACTGGAAATATTGTATATGTAAATAGAAGACAAATGGGTATTATTTTGCCTATTTCTGTTTTTATAAAAACAATTTTTCAATGTTTGAAAACATTTCAACTTTTTAATAAAATAATGTTTTACTTTCTGTGATCTTTATTCTCCTTTGAGATCGCCGTGTTACTTTTTCCCCTGATGGCTGGACCAGCAACCACCTGGTTGTGTTTTAAATTATCAACGACCGTAAGAAGACGTGTAAAAAATCTGAGCTATGGCTTTCTCTAAAATAGATAACAGAGTACTTAATTCATTCTCAGTGGTAAACAAGATACAGTACGGTGTTTTATCAAAAAAATCAAATGGGAAAGTAGATCACATTCAAAATACACTTCCTAAAAATGGTTAAGTAAGCAACACTGTAATTTCAGTCTCATTTCTAGTTTATGCTAGACTATTTTAATAGCATCCTTAATGTTTTCCAGATGTAGTTATAGTTTTGCCAGCAGTGTGTGGGTTTTTACTATAAATTTAAACACTGCATTTTTGTAATTACGGAGGCTTATTTTAAGGCATTCTTGTACATAAATTATCCTTGCTCTCAAGAGCTCAGTGCAGAATTCCAATAGACCAGTAGTGGAATTTAAACATAACTTCACAACACAGGTTAAAATACCTTCATAACTCATTCCCAAAAACTTAAATTCACTTAATAATTTTTGAATCCCACCTAGATTTCAGGAGTTAAGAAAGATATTTACTGTTTTGAAGGAAAATAAGTTAGCCAGGAATCTAGATTCTGAAAACTGATTTGAAATCAAGTGGATACTGCAGTAGCTGTAGCAGTGAAGAGCTGCAACAAGTCAAAGGGAGCCCCCGAAAGCTCGTCCACAGCTGTAAATGAGCTCCTAAGCCAAGCAGTGTATCTGTCTGGGCAATTACGCTGAAACTCTAATGAGGATCCCCTGTTTTTACAGCTCCGGTTTAGTGGTGAGCCTTGATACTTGTAGAACAAAATCACTGTTAATTAAGTATGCAGATTCAGCTTAATATTGAAGCATTTTTCCTCAACATCTGGATACTTGGAACGTGATTTTAATCAAGACTGTGACATCTTTCTGACTTTACAAGTTAGAATACACAAGAATGAAATCAACAGGAATACATTTAAAGTAACTACAAATATAGCTATTCTTCTGTGAAAGCAAAGTCTGCAGTTGCTCATGTGGAACAGATGTATTTTGGGCTCCTAATCATTGACATGGAAGAATGAGTTCCACATTTCACTTTTATAGCTCTTTCAAAGTGAAATATAAGGGAGATTTAACATTTCTTCATTAAAAACAAAACTCATTTACTTGCTAGAAAAAAATTGCACAATCTAATTCCAGAAAGTGAGGATGACTTAAAGATGTTCTAAAATTAGCACATTCATTGCTGCAACAGTTCTAGGTATTTCCTTCTCTTTCCTCATAGCCGAAGATTTTCATATTTCAGCATGTCCTTTGGTGTCTATAACCTTAAGAACACAGTTTTTGAAATTAAGTCTTACCCTTACCTTTCCATAGTCACCTGGCTTTTCCTTGCTCTTTCTGAAGAACTGAAAATGTTTTTAGTCATTCCCAGGTTTCAGTGATACAGTGCAATCTTAAACCATTCCCTCTTTCGTAACGTAATTAAAAAAGACGCGGAGGTTTGGCACCTCGCCGCAGTGGGCACGGCCGCCCCTCGGCGCACAGCCCCCCACCTGGCTCGGGAAGGTCCCCAGGCAGAGCTCTCCAGCAGCGGGGGAGAGCTTGGAAGCCTCACGCCATGCTTATCTGGCTCTGCTCGTCCCCAGCCACCTCTGGTGACCTCTGGTAGAGGCAGGGTACTGGGCTAGGTGGCCCTTTGGCCACTTCTGTGTCCTCACGAATTACAAGGGTAAAAGCCAGCTATAGCCAGGGAACCTGCACAAAGGATGAACGCTGCACAGTGCCTGCATGCAGAGAGAAACGTTACTGCATTCACCAGCCCTTAAAAAAACCACTTGTGTGGCTCCTCTGCAGCACCCACCACAATGGCACGGGTGCTGCTCCTCCCTCCTCCGGTACCTCTGCATGGGAACGTCCAAGCTTCCCTTTGCTCCAGTGAGCAGTCTAGCTGTAAGGGTCATAATCTCTGCTACCTCTGCTCCTGTTCACTGGAAGGTCTTCAGATAAGACACTTGTTATCTGCACGATACCATGTTACCAAACAACGCTCAAATCTTGATGAACGGTGGCGACGTGCTCTGCTGTGTGCTGTTCACGAAGGAAAAACGAGCAGGTTGTGTCCTCTGAGCTTTTTAGATTTGTTGCAAGTCAACTGAAAATAGGGCAAAGCCCTCCTCGTACAGATAAATATTAAAAAAACCCATATAAAAATGTATAAATGCAGGCCTTTGAAAGGGGGAGCAGCACAAAACACTAATAAAAGCTCATGACCAACTTTAATTGTTTAAGGGAGGGCATATATGATAATTTCTGTGTGGTCTTTACAGGAAACTGCAGGTTCTTGAATCTCGAGATAATCTTGTAGCAGAAAGAAAGAGATGCTGATCTCATTCTTCTCACATTCTATTATGAGTAATTGTCAACTCTCTTTTTCTTTTTAATCGCCTTAAATTAGTACATCCAAAGATGTGTCGTTGTGATTCCACCTATCTACCAAGTCTCCCCTGGCCAGCAGGAAAAACCTAACGCTCTGCAACGTCTTCTAATAATAGACCACCGGGTCGGCATCTTTTAAGTAATTTTGTTCTAATTAACAGGACAGACCCAGAATCCCAGCTGCCCCCCGGAGCAGGCAGCGCAGACCTGCCCTCTCCAGCTGCAGCTATCCTGGATTTGATTTTGACACACTAGGGAAAG